TATATAGATCAAGTTTGGCTCATGCGCTCGAGCTTGCTCGTAAGTAGATATGATTGACTACATCTTTGATTGGTATGGATAAAGTCAATATTAAAAAGTATGAAACATTTTTTTTTTATGTCAAATGTGGTTGGACTACGTTGCTCGACTGATTTTTATTTGGAAATTTATTAAGAATATTTATGTTAAGTTATATATATTCATTTGTTTATCATATTTATTTATCTATTATAATTTCAATGTTTTTTTTTTTTTTACTTTTTATAGATAATATGTATTTTAAGGCTCCATTTGGGATGTCTCGCTTCTTTTTAAAGCAGCTTCCTAGCATAAAAATCTAGTTCAAGAAAACTTTTACTAGAAAGCCGTTTTAAAGAAAGCAATAGAAAAATGTCCTATGATCTAAGTCTGTCATATAGATATGATTGTAATAAATTTGATGATTTATATGTTGTGATTTTTATCGGGAGATGCTGATAATAATTTTTAATATTTTTATCAGTAAGCTTCATTTGGATAGTATTTTTTGTTGCTTTTTAAAAGAGCTTTTTATTAAAAAAATTTAATTCAAATTTTTTTAATATTAAATTTGATTTAGAAAACGCTAGAAAATTGTCTCAAATGAAGCTTAATTAGCAACCAAAATTAAGTATAGTACAATAGTTAGGAATTGTAAGTAAAAAAAAAAAAATAGTTAGGAATGTAATTGAATTAAGTGCATCATGAACAACTTGATTTCAATTTGATTTTGGTTCGTTTGGGAACAACTTTCTATATGTTTTTAAAATAGCTTTTTAGTATAAATTTTTTGAACTATAATTTTTTGTATTAGAAAATTTTTGTAAAAAAACAGTAAAAAAGTTGTCCAAATGAAGTCTGCTTTTTAAGTTAATAATTAAATAAACTTTGAATTTTTCTAAAACCAAAAGGTTAAATGGATTTAAATTAAAAATAAAAATAAAGTAATAAGATAAAGGGGCATAAAATAAAAATAAAGTAAAACAATTTCTACGATTAAATGGGGCATTTAAATAATTATTAACAAAAAATATTTTTGGAAATAAGCATTTTAGATCTTAAGATTTTGTCTGTGCATTGAGAATGCTATATTATGTGAGAAAAAGTGGCTAGTGATATTAAAATATTGCAAAAGATGTCCTGGAGTATCAAGGGAAGCTCATAATAGTAAAATAGTTGGTGGTGGAATCCTATTAGTGCTGCAAGAAAAATTAAAAATAAGAACTTTGTTATAAAAATTGGTTTTTATTTTAAAAAATTCTGATAATTGGAAATATATAAAGGCTCGTAAGGATGCTAAGAAGCAATATGCATGCAAAGCATTAGCCTTTAGTGATTTATATAATATATAGATACTAAATAGGAGAAAGATATATGTATAAGTAGCCAAACAAAGAGATAGGACGTAGTAAGGATTTAGTTCAAGTGAAGTGTATTAAAGATGAAGATCAAAAAAAATACTTTTCTTAAAAGAATGATATTCACACAAAGATGGATGAGATATTTTGCTAAACTTTTTAATGAAGATTGTTGAAAATAAGATTGATTATGTGACTTTAGCACCCTAAATGAAATAAAAATTTATGTTTTTTATCGGCGTATTAGTAAAACTGAAGTTAAGAGGCTTTAAAGAAAATGAAGGGTGGAAAGCTGTTGGACCTGATGATACTATTCCAATAGGTTGTGGAAATGCTTAGGAGATGAAGGAATTTCATGGCTTCTAACTTTTTAATTACTATTTTGAAGACTAAGAAGATCCAGATGAGTGGAGAATGAGTGCGTTAATTCTTATTTTAAGAATAAAGGTGATGCACAAGATTGTGCGAATTATAAAGCTATTAGTTAATGTGTCATACTTTAAAACTATGGAGCGAGTTATAGAGCATAGGTTGCCAGCGTGATACTAATGTTTCTCAAAATCATTTGGATTCATGCGGGTAGGTCGACTTATGTAAGTCACATTTATTAAGAGTTTGATGGAGAAATATAGAGAAAAATAAGGAAATCTACATATGATATTTATTGATTTAGAAAAGCATATGATAAATGTCAAGAGAAGTAGCTATGGAGAGTTTTGAAAAGAAAGGAGTCAATAATGCTTATATTCAAATCATTAAAGAGGTTTGATGCAGAAATATAGATTGACCAAGTATTTTCCTATTCGTTGGGTTACATCAAGGATCAGCCTTAAGCCCTATCTTTTTGCTTTAGTCATGGATGTTTTCACTAGACATTTGCAAGAGGATGTACCTTTGTGTATGCTTTTTGCTGATGAATTCTTCTTGTGATAAGACTAGAGAGGGAGTTGAAGATAAACTTGAATTATGGAGTCAACTTAGAGTCTAAAGATTTTCGCTTGAGTAATCTAAAACGGATATATGAGTGTAATTTTAGTAGTAATAGACCTATGAGGGATTGTGATTTGGGCGATCAAGTTATTAATAAGAGTAAGTTTTAGATATCTTGGATCTATTGTTCAAAGTGATGAATAAAATAGATGGATATTTATCAGCATAATTCAAGTTGGATGGTTGAAGTGGAGGAATGCATCGGCTTGTTATGTGATAGAAATGTACCCCTCAAACTTACGGGAAAATTCTATAAGATGTTAGTGAGGCTGCAATGCTTTATGGTGCGAATGTTGGCCTTTAAAAGAAGAAGCATAATACTAAGTTAAGGTGGCAGAGATGAGGATGCTCAGGTGGATGAGTGGCTTTGCCCTGAGAGATAGGATACGAAAATGAGCATATACGTAAAAAGGTTGGAGTAGCTCCAGTAGAAGATAAGATTGAGAAAGTCGCCTTAGATGGTTTGGTCACATAAAACGGCGCCTTGCGATGACCCGGTTAGGAGAGTAGAGGATTAGATTTGACTTATATAAAGGGTAGGTAGACCTAAAAAGACTTGGTTAGAAATTATTAGAAATGACCTTTCTTTATAGATTTAAAACGAGTATTTGACTTTTAATAGACACAATGGAGAAAAAGGATTCATGTAGCCGACCCCACGTTGGTGCGGATAAAGGCTTGATGTTGTTGTTGTTGTTAAAATTAATAATTTTTTTAAAATTCACATTTTTTTAAATATTTTTTATTTCTCATTTAATTATTTATTTTATATTATATTATTATTTTTATTAATACAATGTTATATAAGAATAATATTTTCTTTTCTTAAATAAATGACTAGGCTCCTTTGTTTCAAATTCAAAAAATGGAGATAATTAGTTACTAATAGTTGTTTCAATTTTTGTAATTTTTTTAATGAAAAAAAATCTTTCAAGATATTCGACTTGATTTTTGGCTATTATGAGCCTTAAATTCTTGGATGTACTTTAACATTAATGCAATATATAAGTAATTAAAATTATATAAAACTTCAAGTATATCTAAGGGCTTTGATCCCCAATCTTATCACTATTTTATTTAAAATATAATGATAGTTTTCTTCTTTTAAAACTCATAATCATTTTAGTGAATGTGCATGATGCACACATAGAAATCAAAGTGAGGAAGTTGTGTGTGACATGTGCACATGCAGATCAATGTGATTCAACCATGTATAGTGAAAATACGCATATATAAATGTAACAAAGTAGTGCATGACGAGTGAACATACAAGTCGAGATAAGGAAAAATGCTGTTGTCAATGAAGCATGCATGTTAGAATCATTGGAGAGGGAGTTTGATGGTAGCGAAAGTTAGGTTACAAGTTGTTGGCATGATTAGTTTGGATATATTGGGACATCAACAACTAGTGGAGGATGAAGACTGTGGATAACGAGGAGACCAATGTCGACATTTTCAGGTAGGGCACTAAAACATGAAGCAAGGTGTGCAAGCCTACTAATGACAGGGGCCTATGTGACCATTAGAAGTGTGTGCTTATTAGAGCATTTATGATTGTGCAGACTCATGGAGAGCGATAAGCACATGCACAAGCATGTGTGTGGGATGGGGGTTGACAAATCTAGAAGCAAGGATAGTCGTAGGTTTATGCATGTGGCTATGAACAATAAGCTACTCTAGTGTTTAATGACACAACTATTATTAATCATGCATGCGGGTGTACTAACAAGTTTAATGTTAGGGTACATAGATGTAGATGGCTGCATATTATGTATGCATGCTTGGTTATGAGGACATTTGTAATTGTGCATTGTGCACATGCATGCAGGCTATGTATTGCTATACAGATGAGTGCATGGAGTGCATAGGTATGAGGTGATCTGTTGAGCAAAGACAAATCAGGCACGAGGGTTTGCATTCTTCTAACATTCCATGTCTTAGTTTTCAATTTTCAAACATCTTTATTTTTTACTTATATCTTTACTTGCTTGGATGAATTTCTATGTGAACTAATGTTGTTATCGCTCAAGTTGTGTGAATCATATCAATTGTGCTTAAAAATTTTATGTACTCGCACTGTTAATGTTGATTCTTTTTTACCAAGATATGTATTATACTTTTTGCGCGCACTTATGTGGTGCTGTGGTTTTTAGTGATTATATAATTTAATCTTTTACAATAAATTTGATTCACATAATTATGCTCAATAGTTCTATCACTTGCACCATAGTTTTAATCTTATACTCAACACTATTATATGGTTATGTGGTTCTTTTCAAACCGATCAAAGTGAAACCTCCCTCTCGAATCGAGGGCTAAATTTTTAGAGATAAATATGGTGTCAATTTCAGGGAGAGGGAAGCATGAAATTACTATATATATTGTCATGAAATCGAAGCAAGAGTATCGATACTCATAGGATTTGGAACCCTAAATTTATCATCATCTCCTTTGGGACTCTTGCAATCATACCTTTGATTCCCAAACAAATATGCTTTGATTTTCATAAACTAGCATGTTGGAGAAGATAAATCTAATGCTAAGATGATGTGCCCATAAACCTATTTCTAATAAGTCAAGTGCAAGCTGGTTAAGAAGAGATTGCTAAAAGAAATGCTCACCTTAGGCAACTAATGTTTTGTTTGGGACATTTTTTTATTGCTTTATAAATTAGCTTTTTAGTATAAAAGATTTATAATTCAAAACATTGTTGTACTAAAAAGCTACTTTAGAATATAATATAAAAGCTATTCTAAACGAAGCCTAAAATTAGTTGAACTGAAAATTGTGGACGAGAGAAGAAATTGCGAACGTAAAAGATGGTAATTGAGAAAATAACCTAGAGTAATAACACATATATAATACATTATTATTAATTAAATAGTAAAAAATATATATATTTGATCACATTTTAATTAAATATTACATGAGCTACCATCTCATGCACAGACAAAATCTTAAGATCTAAAAAATTATTTCCAAAAATATTTTTGTTAATATCATTTAAATGCCCCCATTTAATCGTAGAAAATTGTTTTACTTTATTTTTTATTTTATGCCCCTTTATCTTATTACTTTATTTTTTATTTTATAATCCATTTAACCTTTGTGGTTTTAGAAAATATTCAAATTTATTTAATTATTAACTTAAAAGGAGCAGACTTCATTTTGGACAACTTTTTTACTGTTTTTTTACAAAAATTTTCTAATACAAAAAATTATAGTTCAAAAAATTTATACTAAAAAGCTATTTTAAAAAACATATAGAAAGTTGTTCCAAACGAAACCAAAATCAAATTGAAATCAAGTTGTTCATGATGCACTTATTCACTTACATTCCTAACTATTTTTTTTTTTTTTACTTACATTCCTAACTATTTTTTTTTTTTTACTTACATTCCTAACTATTGTACTATAAATAGATAAAAATTTCTAAGAGCCAACCCACTTAATTTTGGTTGCTAATTTAAGCTTCATTTGAGACAATTTTCTAGCTGTTTTCTAAATCAATTTTTTAATATAAAAAAAATTTGAATTAATTTTTTTTTAATAAAAAGCTCTTTTAAAAAGCAACAAAAAAATACTATCCCAAATGAAGCTTACTTGATAAAAATATTAAAAATTATTATCAGCATCTCCCGATAAAAATCAACTAACATTAAATCATCAAATTTATGCAATCATATTCATATATGACAGACTTAGGATTCATTTAGGACATTTTTCTTATTGCTTTTCTAAAACGGCTTTCTAGTAAAAGTTTTCTTGAACTAGAATTTTTTATGCTAGGAAGCTGCTTTAAAAAGAAGCGAGACATCCCAAATGGAGCCTTAAAATACATTATTATCTATAAAAAAGTAAAAAAAAAAAAACATTGAAATTATAATAGATAAATAAATATGATAAACAAATGAATATATATAAACTTAACATAAATATCTTAATAAAATTTCCAACAATAAAAATCAGTCGAGCAACGTAGTCCCAACCACATTTGACATTAAAAAAAATGTTTCTATTACTTTTAATATTGACTTTATCCACTACCAAATTCAAAGATGTAGGTCAATCATATCTACTTACGAGCAAGCTCGAGCGCATGAGCCAAACTTGAGTCTATATTAATGTTGCAAATGAACACAATATTAAACAAACTACTTGAGACTCGATTCGATTATAACTCAATCATTATCAATTAATTATCTAATCAAACAAACTTAAATACTTCCATAAATAATAGGTTAATAATGAACAATCTTAAAAAAATTGCTACTCGACTCATTTATGATCATTAACAATAACATTTAAAGTTCATGAATAAATTCCATTAAAACTCAAAATACACTCAATTTCCTAATTAATATTTAATTATCCTAATTATTGATTAATTAGTAATTTATAAATTAATTTTCATCAACTTATGTATATATATGAATTTATCCTAATTATTGAAAATGGTGAAAATGAATAGAGTGTTTAATATTTAAGTGTTCGAGCTTTATTCATTTTCACCAACAAAGCTCGAACAATTTCACAAAAGCTTGAATCAAATTTGAGTCGAGCTCTAACAGGATTTAGTAAATGAGATTGAGTTCAAGCAACATTCAGCTCATCTCGACTTGGCTCGGTACATTTGCATCCCTCCATTAGTCATAAAAAGACAAGTCAAGTTTGAGCTCAAATTCCAGCCTACCATGAGATAGGCAACTTGAACTTAAATAGCCATGACTCAAGCCCAACTTGACTCAGGCTTCGTTTGGGATGACTTTCTTACTGCTTCTTAAATCAATTCTTTAGTAAAAAACTACCTTAAGAAGCAGTAAGAAAGTCATCACAAACGAAGCCTTATTCACACTCCTAGTCAAACTTACATTCATATTATCATAATCTATTTCAAAACATTCTCATGTAATTTATATCAAGATAGCAAAGACAAAACATTCAAAACTAATAAAAATGTAAAAAACACAAATAAAAATCAAACATAGATCAATAATATCATAACAAAGAATTTACATACCATCAAAATTTGAAGGTTTATATCATAGCTTCCAATATTCTATCTGATCATCTGACATGTTCTGTCCATGTCTAACAAATGTTGCAGAAAATATATAGAAACTCCATAACATCATACCAGGAAACCTTTGCAAATGCTAATTAAGTAAAACATCTTCCCCTTAACAAGGGGGATAGTAATTTACTGAATGAACAAGCATATTACAATTATTAGTTCAAGCAAAAATGGAGATGCCAAAAAAAAAAGACCATTTTGCACAAAACTTAAATACTTTACAGGAGCAGAGATAAATGAATAACATAGATTCATAAAAGGTACTCTAATGTGGTTTTTCCTCTTCTTTCTAACTCTACTTACACTTGCAATCACCAGATGACTTAATTATACAACATTCAGATTCACAATATAAGACATGGAGAATAAGGCTTCGTTTGAGACGGTTTTTTTTTTACTTCTTAAAATAGCTTTTAAGTATAAAAATTTTTATTTTTGTATTAAAAAGCTGCTTTATGAAGCAGTAAGAAAGCCGCCCCAAACGAAGCCTAAATTTTGTAATTGTAGCTTACCTGACAAAGGCAAAGGTGTCTCCTTCAATGAAAAATGTAGAAGTAGCTGTAGAGTTTTGGCATTGCTTAAGAGCCAAAGGAACTGTTAAATAAGCTAAAAGCTTAGTCTCCCGGACAGGTGTTAATTAAGCTAGTTTATTCTCCCTGACTGATCAATAAGGGTGCCTACTTGGTCACCGCAAAGAGCTCTCGAAATATTGCTGGGCTCCATAAGATTAAAGAGAACAACTGCAAAAGGACAAAAAATACAATAAGATCATCTATCACATGTTTCCAGTCCATCTAATATATTGCAGAATGGATAAGTTAATGTTAGGGATATTTTTGATAAGATTTAAAGATTTGGATTTTATATCAGTAAATATAAATATTTCACTTTTAGATATGTAATTAAGTAAAATCTCAGTGGTAAGCAAGTAAACCACAAAATTCTTATCTATTTACATATTTAAAATCTAAACATTTATATTTACTTGCATAATTCTCTAGAAATCACATCAAAATATATGCATTAAAATGATATATTTTAGGCGTTGTTTGATTTGCTGAAGAAAGAGTGCAAAGTATTCTAAATGGAGGGAAAACAAAATTTGAATTTTTGGTTTGCTAAAAAAGAAATACAACATAAAATTTTAATGAATTTCTTTTCATTGCCTAGTTCATTTTTTGATGTATTGTACATTCACCCAATTTCAGGGATCAAGTCATCAATAAGAGTATACGTTTTAGATATCTTTGGATTATTGTTTAGAGTGATGGAAAAATAGATGGGGATATTATTAGTAGAATTCAAGTTGGATGGATAAAGTGGAAGAATGCATCGTGCTTGTTGTGTGATAAAAAAAGTACCACTCGGGAAAATTCTATAAGATGATGGTTAGACCTATAAAGCCTTATGGCACAAAATGTTGGCCATTAAAAGAGAAGCATAATATTAAGTTAAGTGTTGCAAAGATGAAGATGCTCAGGTGGATGAGTGGCTTTACTCTTAGAGATCGGATACGAAATAAGCATATACGCGAAAAGGTTGGAGTAGCTCCAGTGATAGATAAGATTAGAGGGAGTCGCCTTAGAAGATTTGGTCACATAAAATGGCGGCCTTCCGATGACCCGGTTGGGAGAGTAGATGTATTAGATTTAAAATATGTTAAGAAAGATAAAGGCATACATAAAAAAACTTGGTTATAAATATTAGAAATGACATTTCTTTATTAGATCTAAATGAGAATTTGACTCTTAATCGGACACAACGGAGAAAAAGTATTCATGTTGCCGACCATACGTAGAGGGATAAAGGCTTGATGTTGATGTTGTGTACATTCACCTAGTTTTGACTGAATTCTTTTTTCACCGTAAGCTAATTGTGTTATCGTTGGCCCCTGCCCGTCGTCGGCCCCCGCTCGTCGTCGGCCGCCCCCATCTACCATAATTACTTGACTTTGCATTGCATTTATTTTACTTCAAGCCAAAGAAAAATAAATAATCTCCTATATTTTTTTACACCCATCCAAATAATTTTAAACATTTCAAATACACTATATTCTTTTTACTTTGCATTTATTTTTTAGCAAATCAAACAACCTCTTAATTTAGTGATTTATGCTATTGGTATTTTTTCCGGTGTGATATTAGTAAATATAAAGATTTAAATAAAATCTCAAAGCTGATGGAAGGAAACCAGGAATGTTGTTTTCTTCACAGAAAGTAACCGCAGTCATGTCCATCGCAGTGAACCCTCTGGAAACCAATTCTCTGAAAGAGAAGTGCTCAAATGCAGAGCTGTTATTTCGGGAATGGCAGTCATAGACACCATCTGTAGTAGTCCCTTTCAACACAGCCTCTGCATTAACTGCAAAATACACAATATTTGGTAAGTAGATTGTGGACAAAGAATACATAAAAAAGTTAAGGGAATCCTGCTTTGTACAAGCTATGGCAACCCACTCTCTGAGGCTCTCAGGGCAGTAGCTGTGTCAGTAGTGAAGAGTGGATTTCCAGTTCCAACGCCAATTCCGCCAAATATAACAATTCTTCCTTTTTCAAGATGGCGGATAGCTCGTCGTCTAATGTATGGTTCGGCAACCTCTTGCATCATGAACGCAGTTTGTACTCGAGTTTCAACGCCAATCTTCTCAAATGACGCCTGGAGCAATAGAGCATTCATGACTGAAGCCATCATTCTGTTAAATTATCAACTATTGAAAGTATTAGCTCAGGTACTTACAGTACATAGACAAATACTCTATATGCGTGATCATACATGTAAAATAAGAAAAATAAGGTAGACTGAATGTCTTTCTCTGTAAACTAAGAATATGCGACCTGTAATCATTTACCATAGTGAACTTGCACAAATAATTTAGAGTCAATTTTATAAGTGGTTCAGCACACATGACCAAGGATAACAATCTATGATGCACATACACGGACACGGCAACACAGATACGACACGACACGGACACGGGACACTTAAGTTATTGTGAAAATATAGGATACGGACACGGGTTGGACACGGTATTATAGTTTTTATATTTAAAAAATAGCGTGTAAAAATTAAATAAGTATAATTTTAAAAATAATTTAAAAATGATAAGTCATTTAATTGAAATTTGTGCTTAAAATGATTAGTATTAGGATGTCGAGAGTCAGGCGTCGATGTCGTTATTAGTCACTCACCGAGAGAGGAGATGAAAATACCTTCACTGTAAAAAAGAAATAAAAATGAGAATATTTGATGATTAGGTATTAAGTGCGGACGTTGATTTGGTGTCGTGGATAAGAAATAAGAAATTTAGTTTAAATCCCGTCAAATACAAGAAATTATATTTTAAAAAATTCATAAATATTTAAGATAGGCGTGTCGGACATGCGTGTCCAATTTGTATTTAATATTTTTTAATCGGACACGAATGTGTCCGACACAAGTCGGAGGAGTGTCGGGCGAGTGTCGTGTCGGATACGGTGTCGGATACTGCACGCCTCTTTGAGGAGAAGTGTCGGTGTATCATAGATAACAGTCAATGTATAGATTAAAAGATAGGAGTTTACATTAATGTTTGCAAAACACACCAAGGACAATTGTCATTTCAGGCCTCGTTTGTTTGGCCGTAATTTCTCCATCTCCGGTTTGAATCGGAGAAAAAATTACTGTTTTTCTGTTTGTTAAGACGGCTTTTCCATTCTTCCGAACCTCCGTATTTCCGCCAATCTGAGAAGAAAAAAATTCTCAGTTTCCTATTCCGGTACTTCCGTTTAAAGTAGCTTTCTACTAGAAATTTTTTATTTTTTATACTAAAAAGCTGCTTTAATAAGCAATGAAAAAGTTGCCCCAAACGAAGCCTAAACCTTTACTAATAAACAATCTTTAAATTTAACGGTTTTACTTTTACAGATTGGTGATCAAGGATAGTTGGGTTAATGTTGATGTTTTATAACTCCACTATTAATACACCCATTGCAAGAGAGGATGAAAATAACATACATGAAATCAAGTGTTAATTGAACTGTAAAGACATCAGCAATAGTTAAAATGATTGAATGTTGAATAATTAAACTTCAATTAAAATATAAATCCAAATTTAAAGGTAAAGCTAATGCAATATGTAATTGTGCATATTATCCATTAAATATTAAGAAATTATACACTATTTTATATTCCAATATAATTAAATTTAAAATAATGGCATACATGATAAAAAAGCTAATTATTCAATAAATAAATCAAAATTAATATTTAAAATTAATCTCATATGTTATGTGTAGTTAGCAATTAAATAAAATAGTGGAATATTAAATAATTATAAATCAATTTAATTATATATGAATTTAAATTTAAAATAATGACACACATGATGTCATAATTAATATTAATTAAGAAAATGTAACTTCCATAATCAATTATGTCATTTCTCCCTGACTAGAAAAGCTAGTCGCTTCATAATGTTGCCACACACTTGCTAGCAGGGCAAATCATATTTCTCTACCGGCCAACCGTCCACCTAGTCAAGTGGAAAAAATATAGTGGATCAAGCAACATACACTGTTGGTTTGCTTCTTGCCCAGGAGGAAAGACAGAAGAGTGACAAGATGTGGCGATCGCAGGATACCCAATGTTACCTCCCAGAGCCATGCACACTATCATGGAATTGCCATTCATGCCAGATAATAATATAATTAATACTTCCTTCTGCTGAACTACAAGCCTTTTTTTTTTCTATTAACCAACATAATGAAATGGTAAACTCATTGAATTTGCTTCCGTGCATTTATATGAGCATCAGATCTCAAAAGCTATTTATGCTCTTGCAACCCTTGTTAAAAGTAACTTAAGCTTCGTTTGAGACGGTTTTTTTACTGCTTCTTGAAGTGATTTTTTAGTAGAAAAATTTTAATATTTATACTAAAAATCTGCTTTAAGAATGGATTCATGTAGCCGATCCCACGTAGTGGGATAAAGGCTTGATGTTGTTGTTGTTGTTGCAAGCCATCTCAAACAAAGTCTTAGACAATCAAGCTGTTTTTAATGCTCTCTAGTTCACTTGCATGACAGAATAAAATATCATTATAAAGCAAACTAAAATGGAAGTAACAACTTTCGGGCAACTTGCTTCAGCTAAAACTAAACACCCAACATCTTTCACATATCTTGTCAAATGATTAAGAGGTATGGTTCCCGTAAAACCATGCATAAATTCATTTTGCTAGTTTCGAATCTACTGACAGTTCCACTCATTTACATGGGTACCTAGATGGTTACTTGTGTAGAATAAAACTTGAAACTACATGCACAAACCTAGAAGTTAAGTAGATATAGTAATAGTTGTATGTGCTCCATGTCACATGCATGCCGAGGAAAGAAGGGTATTACACCAGTATGGTTGTTAGATACTGTCTTCATAGGTTCTCAAGCAGAACTACTAGTACATATCCGTACCTAATTAATGTGCAGCAAGGCAATGTCTTAAAGACAACTCACTGATGAGGACATCGGAGATCAACGATTACGATTTTGAGTTATTTATATGTTTCATGTACTAGTTTATTTTATATAGTTGTTTTTCCATTTATACCCTTACGGGTGGTCATGTAGTATTGTAGCCCGAAGGGCATTTTAGTCTTTTATTTCTTTTCTCTTCTTGAGCCTATTTATAGGCTAGTTATTTTGTATTATGGATGATGATTTAGCAAATGAAAATTTTCTACTTTGATCTCGATACAGTTCAAAGCAAAAACCTTTATCAAATGAGCAATCAATCATATTTTGTGTATGAATGACAAACTAATTATTAATTCAGCGAAAGAACTCCAGAATACTAGTTAAAGCATATAAAAATAAGATCCAAAAAGTACCATCTATATAGAAGACCATACCCGATTTGGTATGTAGTAGCTCTATCTGTGCCAGTAGTAGCCACCCAAGAATTACCACAGAAAAAATTCCGACCACCAACAACAATTGCCACCTATTAATAAATCACAAAGAACAAACATTTATAATCTAAAATATTCTTATTGGATTGCTTTGCATACAGAATTTAAATAAAATATACCTCAACACCAACACGGCTTGCCAAAGAAACCTCCCTAGCAATCAGCATCAGAACCTAACAAAGAATAGTGATTAATTTCAATTACAGAAGCCATGTCATCATTCTCCGACAATTTTGGCTAGACTAAGGCTTCGTTTGGGACGGCTTTTTTATTGCTTTCTAAAACGGAGTTTTAGTACAATTTTTTTTATTTTTGTACTAAAACTCTGTTTTAGAAAACAATAAAAAAGCCGTCCCAAACGAAGCCTAAGGCTTTGTTTGGGACTGCTTTCTTCCTGCTTCTTGAAGTGGTTTTATAAATTTTTGTACTAGAAAGCCACTTTAAGAAGCAGTAAGAAATCCGTCCCAAACGAAGCCTAAACACAAATACAAAATTGATCAACAAGCCAAAACAGTATGGATGGGAGCTCACCTTTGGATCAACATTCTGTGGACCAGTCCCAGCTAAAGTAGAGCCACTAATTTTCAAGACGGTTCTCTTCCATCTAGGATTAGATAGTGATTTCAATTTAAAGCTACCTGTTAAACTAGCCGAAACAGGTGAAGTCACAGGATATCTGCACATGCAATTAACCCAAATTGAGATTAAAATAAAATGCTAACCCATAAGACAATAAGCATTGCCAAAATAAGGAAGAAAAAAGATCTTATTAAGGTAAATCTATTTATATTCATCAATAATTAAGTTCTAACTTACTTCAGGATTGTCTATAATAATACCCTTTCGATCAAATAACCATGACACTCTTTCAAACACTTTCATTAGAGAGTTGAGACTAACAGTAATAAAATTCAAAAACATAAATGAACTAATTAAAAAATAATAGATTTAGAAGATGATCTCCGTTTAACCAGGAATCAGACTGATTTCTTATTACCATCCTAAGGGTACTGATCCCTACAGTTCCATGATTGAAGATTGCTAGACATTCTTCTCCCTCCCTCCCTCCCTCCCTCCCTCTCTCTCTCTCTCTATACATATATATATATATATATATATATAGTACTCTTGTTTGTGTCCTTGATTCGAATTTGGAGAGAAAAGAATGAAGATAGTTTTGCCATGGATATGCACGATATTAATAGATGCTACCTAGGATGGTTCCCTGGGAACCATTGTCACGCCTGCTATTACAAGAGTAATGATAATTGGGAAGTAAATCCCTCTTTGATGTCAAAATCCAGACTAGCAGATCTCATCCTAGATTTCTAGAAGTGTTATTATCTCATTGGATCTCATGTTCCATCGTTGGATCTTATGTGACTTCATGTAGCTGGTGATGCTTCTACCTTTGCTAGCAAGATCTTACCGTGCACGCCGGAGGAGTCCTTTGGACGTTTGCGGAGATTTTAATCTATCTTGAGGGTGTTCCAAATGGCTTCTTCCAATTCTATCTTATTTGGCTTTCAGGGTTAGCTTCTTGATCTTTATTTCACTTTGAGTATAGCTTCCCCCAAAGTAATTGGAGAGGTTATTGGGCTTGTGGAATCGATTATGTTATCACTACAAGGTGTTTCCTAAACATTAGGTCAATTATGTTGTGCACAATTTGGGAAAAAAGAACTATCAAACCTAGCGAGATTCTTTATCCTGTCTTATGTGATTGGAATCCATTTTTCTCTTAATTGACTCAGTTGACTATAAGGCTTAAGAAATAGAGATGAATTTGTTGTACATTAATTTACCCATATTTTGAACCCCATTTCATTTGAACGAGAACAAATGATTTAAAACAAAATAGTTGAAATCTCAATTAATGAATTTGTAAGAACAAGTATTTTCCAAAACCATCGTGTTCGATTTGAAGTGAAGAAATCATTAGAGGCCAAATAGATGTTTCATGATCTCTCTTAAATGTGATAAGAGTATTCCTTCACATGGATATGCATGGAATACCTCCCATGGATAGCTCAGTGATGCCTGATTTCACTATTAACCTCTTTCGGTACTAGTGTTGGTTAATGTGCATCCTAATTATGGACACATATGCACAAGTGATGCAGCTCTTATGGCCTATAAATGATGCTTGGGGCATCCACACCGAGATCTTTTCATTTTTATTATGCTCAAGCTACAACTCAAACTCGTAAAATTATGCTCAAGCTACAACTCAAATTTTATTAATTAATCAAGTTCAAGCTGAAGATAACTCGAGCTCGGCTCTACTCGTTTACACCACTAAGTTATCCCCACCTCGAGATGCTTTAGTAATAATGAATATTGGAGCTAGATCCTTTAGTTGTGCATCCTTTGCCTTCCCTACTATCAAAGACCGAGTTACTTATTTTTCGCCCTCCTCTCCCAAGCCAAGACTCTTTATATCATTCTGGAGGGGCATATCTCCATTTTGAATCTTATTTTCCCCTATATTTTGGTTCATCTTTGTCCTTCTTGACTTAATTGACTTGAAACTTCTCAATTCAAAATGTCGGATTCTCCTGAGTTGGAGGCTCTATCTCCAGTTTTGCTTCAAATTCTTATCCTACCATTGTCCTTTTGTTTTGTCTTTCTAACATTTTCGTTTTATTTCTCGTCGACCTAAATTATTTAACAGATGTATTCAAAATATAAAATTTAAATAACGAAAAATGAAAGACATAATAAAAATGAGTGATGTAAATCTTTTAAATCCCCATTCTTCAAACTTTTATAAATCTTAAGTTTAGTCTAAAACAGAAAGAAATTTGGATTGAAGAAATAAGTAGCATTTGCCGCTCTAAAAATCATTTGGTACGATTTAACCAAAATCCTCGACAAATTTTGCTAAATCTTACAGGTAAACAGCCCAAAGACAACATCTAGAATAAAATCCATGCAGGAAAAGTTATAGGTGTAAAGCAAAGGGACCTCTTCATCTGCCTCTGAGCAGGATTGGTATCAACCAGTGCGGCGGCCTTATCTTCATCTGGAACAATCTTAGAAGAAGAGGAGGAACCGACAACCTGCTCCATCTTCTTGAACCATGGCCAATGGCTAACAGCAAGGTTGCCACTGCTAAGTCGCTGGCATTCCACCTTATAACGCTTCTTAAGGTTATCAACCTTGTTTTTGCACTGCTCCACGGTTTTGCCGGACTTCTGCTTGTCGCATCTCTCGCTCACAGTAGTGGCAACGTCCTCCCAGTCCCTTCCCCTCAAGTTTCCACGGTTAAGCTGTATGTACTTCTCGGTGTACGCATCCAGAAGGCAGCCAATGGCCGAATCGCTCCACTCCTCGCGGTCCTTTCGATAGTCTCCGGAAGAAGTCGGCGCCGCCAAAGCTGACCTAGAAGACCGCTTGTTTCCCATGTTGTAACCGTATGGGGATTCGCCATCGCTGAGTTCGTCCCGGTCCCTGCGCTTCGATTCAGCACGGGAAGCATGGTGGTGCTGCTGCTGTTGCTGGTGGTGAAGGTGGGAGGTAGACGCCGCCGGGTGGGACTTGTTGTTAGGGTTATTATCCCCTTCGGCATCGTCATCCTCGGGAGGCTGTGCCGAATCGAACGGATTTGATCCCGGATCGTCGTCGGCGAAGCAATGGCTGTGCGGGTTCACATCCGTCGGGGCAAAGGCCTCGCCGTAGCCTTCATGATCATCGTCCTGGCCGACGGAGCCTATGGGCACTTTCTTCGAGTTGATGGTGTTGAGGTGAATAGAGCGGGAGTGAAGTGGCACCGACGCCTTGGGGATGTAGCGATGGCTTGAGAAGGAAACAGCGCCTGCTGCCACGGTTGCTGAAGCTTGTTGCTGCTGCTGGGGATGATGATGGTGGGACTGCGCTTCGTCCCCGAGGAGAGCGAAGTCATCGTCGCAGGAGGCCATCGGTGTTGCGGCGGCGTTAGGGTTAGGGTTAGGTCTTCCGGATCAGTGCAGGCGGAAGCAACGCGAGACGGGACGGGAGGCAGACGACGTTAGACACGAGGGGCAATGTCGTCTGCGCAAGTTCAATTAAATGCGTAACGGTGGGTGTTTCCGGTAACCTGTAGGCTACGGAACCGTTACGACGGCTCATGACTCCGTTAAGTAACACCAATTGTAAAATGGAAGAAATCTACTAAGTATTTATTTTTATTAGAGGAATGCATATAAAAATTTATATTGATCATGTAGTGTAGCTCATAATGAATGAAAGTATTTCGAATTGGTTTAAATTCAAATAAATATTCAAATGTTTGTTCGAATGTGATTTGAATCTTATTTGAACATCTCTTCTCTTTTACACACTGTCACTTATATTGATGTCCTAAGCTAACTATAATTGTGAAATCCTATTCTCCTCGTTGATGCCCTCAACAAGCATCCATCGTGAAATCTTATTCTCATTCAAATGCCGCCGCTCCTGTCGATGCCCTCAACGAGTTGTCTTCACAAAGTCAATTTCTCCTTCATATGATGTTATCTTGTTAATGCTCTCAGTGAATTGCTAGTATAAAATTGTATTCTCCTATACATGTTGTCACTCTCGTCACTGCCCCCGATAATCTTTTGCCACAAACTTCTCTTATCCTCATACACTTTCAATGCCATCGAAGTTTGCCCCAGCGAGCTCCTGTTGAGAACTCTCCTTCTCTATCATGCTTATGGTTACCTTTACCCAATACAAAAATGTATGAAAGTTCATGCCTAGTGTGCAAATTTGAAATTTGGTTTGAATCATATTTGAACAAGGTCCAAATGATATTTAAACAAATGTGATGGGCTTCGATATATAAAGGGTTGCCTTGCATTGAGGATAATTTTGTTTAAAATAAAATTTTGAACATGCTTTCCAAGAATATAAATTATTGGCATATTAAATCAAGTTCCTTTTATGGAATGATATGTGATAATAAGCTTTTTTATTTTTAAAATAATTCATATAATGTAATTGTATGCCCATTGATTATAAGTATATTATAAATTAATTAGAATATATTTGATACATCTCTAGAAAATTTACTTAATTAGAATGAATCTCATGATAATATTTGAATTGAAAACTTTTATAATTAAATTTAAGGTTATCTAAACTTTGATTTCAATAAATTTATAACTCAATTGAGAGTTTTGATAAGATGAACCCATCTTCAATCTGAATCCAAATGATCCCAAATTAAACATTTGAATTATATTTGAAAACATGTGAACATTAATTCGATCAAATGGTCTCCAAATTTCAATATTGCATGCATATAGTTAAATGGAGTGGCTTGACAAGATGAATCTAATGAGATAAATATCTTTTGATTTTACATTGTTAAAGAACTCAATTTTGAATATATAATCTATTTCATATGACTGCCATTACCCGATAGCCATCGCATATTCATCATCACATGACCATCATAATTTGACTATTATTAAACTTATTTCATTATTTAATTATTATCATTAAGCTATCATTTCTCAATTTCCATCATTTGATTTTGTCAATATATCTCATCTACCATCATCTGACTACCATTGCCATCCATTAACATCCAACCTCCAATGCAGCAATGCTTGACTAACATCATTTGATCACCATCATCATACAAAACCACTTTTCAAATATTCTCATATATCACCAAATTCATAAAAAGACATTTATAATCCCATATTCTTCAAATGATGAGAAGAGACAATCTTTGTAATATCTATTCAAACAATGGATCATTTCATATGGTATAGTTCCATGGTTTCTCCATTTCCAAAATTTTAATATAAAAACTTGGTGCCTCTATATTGAACTCATTTTATCCATGTGTGTTTGCAGAATCTTCATTTAATGTAAGATATAAAACTCTCTATATTATCATGAATTTTCTAGCTTGCAGTAATTTACACTACATGTGGGATACATTGCAAACATTCTATAAACACTCATCCAATGACTGATAAATAATCCTATAATTAGAGACATTATATTCTAGTTGATGCATGCCACCTAAACATGAGTTTAGAGGATCGTATATGCATGGCATAGGAGAATCAAGCTCAAATTCTTCATCTATTAGAGGAAGTTAACCAATAAAGAACATAGTCACAATATGATAAAATTCCCTCACCATAAGATCACGCTAGACTTAATCAATTTGATGACACCCATATAGTGCCTCCTCTTCAACATTCTATAATTTCTCTTTCATTATAAACATATCAGGATATATTAGACACTATCAATTCATCCCATCATTCACGTGCCACTTGATTGGCTAGTAATCTTCAGGCTTCAACTAGCTTGGTGGACTTGAATTAATATTGCTTTATTGACACATAACGTAATGTTTCAGAATCTAAATTGGAAGAATTATTATTTTATATTTTAATAAACAATAAAAATAATTCTAGAATTCACAATATCTACATATACATCTATATTCATTTCCCAAAAATTATATATACTATTTGGGATCTATACAATCATATCATAACTATTCTGTCATGAATACAAAAAATAGTTAAATAATAAGAACCTGAACTTGAATGATACTGATCAATCTCTCACTCTGCTCCCCTACCCTGATCTGAAATCATTTAACCACATATAATGAGCTCATAAGTCTAACAATTAATCAAATTCTATAACTGAACTCAAAGCACGATAAATTAGTAATATACATGTCAGCCATCAAATTATAGCAATATCATTCATATGATCATTGAATCAATGCATAAATATTAATGCTCACATGCAATATAGTAAAGCCTATAAAATAGTATAATAATACGATAAAGAAATCAATAAACACGTACGAGTGTCAAATCACTAAAGTAATTATTGTATCAATATCATCAATCAATAAAAAAATCATATAAAGCGATAAAATCAAAGCATCAATAAAGATTATCGAAATTATATTAATGTAGAAGTGTACACATATTATCAAGGTATTTTATATTAGTATCAAATTAATATCTTTCATGCTTAATATGTTATATGCTCAGTATCAATATATTGAATTAGCAGTATCAATAGTAACAATATCTATATCAATAGCAGTGACAATCCAATGGTAAGAGAAATAAAATAATACAGTAATAATAAATTTGTGTTGTAATAATAAATTCATACATTGATAGAAATAATGCCTTAATAATATGTATTTTAGCATTTACGCTAAACAAGTAAGAAGTTCTGATTATTACGATGTTTTTCAATAACTAGTAAATGGGTAGTTAGTAACAGTTAGATCAGTAAATAGAGTCGCCACTCTTTGCTCATCAGCACAATAATAACTAATTATAACTCTCAATCAATATAATGTGAATCAGTAGATGATAACATCAAATCATAATTTTTAAAGTAAAGTCAGTCCGCCCACCATTATGTATATGTCAATCAGTTTCCAACCAACGGGTCAATCAATCTTTACTTATCTTTTACACACACATTATTATTATAGTACTATAACAATAATCACAATCACATATTCAAATTCATTTTTAATGTATTGTAGCAAATAAGTACTATAATCGAGCTTAGTTCAAAAAATATCAAAATGTCTTAACGATATGCAACATAAAACCTTACTGAGCAAAAATTTATATTTTCAAAATTTAACCAAATTACCAGAGATTATATATAAGTACAGTATAAAGCTTTTATTAAACTAAAACAGTATTTTTAGTTGTCAAAATAAAAGTATAAGTAGGTAAAAATTAATATTTTTTTAAAATCACGCGTCAAAAAAATCTCAAATAAATACTTAAAATGTTTATAATTTCAATCTATATAACATATAAAAAGTTACACAGTGAAATTTTTACTAATATCTATAACATATAAAAAAGAGGATACTAGTCTTAAGAAGATCATTATCATCATTTAAGATTATTCAAAAGAAAAGTGTTAATTAATTTGTGCTTTTATTTTAATGGCCAACATTATGTGCCATAAAGCATTACAGGTTTCTCCACCATCTTATAACATTCTCCCTTCAGTTTGAGGGGTACTTTTGTATCACACAATAGGCCCCATGCATTCCTCCACTTCAACCATCCAACTTTAATTCTACTAATAATATCCCCCATCTACTTTTAGCACCACTTTGAATATTAGCCCCGGGTTATCTAAAATGTGCATTTTTTAATGACTTGATAATCTAATGTCATAATCCGACCATTAGATCAATTACAACTAAAATTATTCTCAATGTATTCAATTTTGTATCTACTCAAATGAAAAACTTAAGACTCTAAGATTGATCGTCATAATTCATGTACTCTTTCAACTCCCTCTCTAGTCTTATCAACAAGAAAAATATCATTAATAAGAAGCATACTGTACAGGAAAGTATGCCTAAGAATAACTAAATTACATTTAATGACTCTCATGCTGAAGGAATAGTTTATTCTCATCACAATTCTCTAATCATCTCAGTTTGAATGAGGACATCTATTATAAACACTAAAGATTTTGGTAGTTCTATGAATATTTTATCCCTAATCATTTTGAAAAACTTTAGATTAACTCATGTTGAACTCTAATGTTATCCTCAAGTTAACCATCTTTACAATAAATGTTTTCAATTTAGCTCATGATGGTAGATATATGTTCAATTTATAATGACATATTCAATCAATCTCTACTATCTAGTTTTATAGCTATTGCATCTATCTCCCATTTAAAGATCAAAATTTTAGCACTTAGGGGAGTTAGAGAAATAAGCAACCCAAAGAAGTTGAGCTCCTCACCTCATCGATTCCCCATCAAGATATATTCTCTATCCCTTAGAGATAATTAAAAATCTACTTTTTTTTTCATTTAACTTTATTTCTAAACTATAATGTATCTTATTCTAGATATTAATAATTTCTTTTCATCATAAAATATTATATCTTATCTTTTCTACTAAAAAAACTCCTATAAAGCAGGAAAAAAGCTATTCCAAATGAAGCTCATTAATTATAATAATTAGTTATAATAACTTGATTTTAAATATCAATCAAACATATTTATGAATATATGAAGAAGCATACAAATAAAAGCTAGCAAAATAAGAAGCCATATTTTAAAGCAAAATATAAAACTAATGGACCAATATAAAGATTACACATTCTTTAGAACCATCTATAGACATTTCATGAAATATTCATTTGAACATTTAAATT